CCGAAGACAATGAGTGAGGTCACACTTTATTGTGAAAATCAACATCTGTGGATGCTGGCTTGGAGGTTTAGAAGTTAAGCGTTCCCACGCGAAACAGAACATCTTAGGTTCGATTTCTGCAAGCAGGGGTCGTGTCTGATGAGTCTCGTATTAGGAGTACTTAATGACCGTCCAATTCTTCCACATTTCTGATGGTAGTCTACCAATGATCGATTCATAATTTCATGGAAACTTAACGTTCAGTTCAAGTCATCCATTCAGCCAAGAACCTATCATTCCGATTCAAGTCAAGTGAGGTTTCACTTTGTCAAGTGCCAAACAAGAGCCATCGTACAGAATGAATGGTGATAGTAAACTATCACGAATTTAACAAAGTTGAAAATCTAAACTGTTCAATACTTTAATAGTTCTCAATATATTATCGGGAAAAATTCGGGAGCCTTCGATGCTACACAACAGACACTAACCAAATCACACTTGACTGAGAAGCTCGGAACAACCTTTTCATACCTGAACTGTATCATTCATAAAAAAGAAGGATCTGATGCAGAGCTAGGGGCAGCATTTCTACAATTGAAGGACATCGGCAACTCAAAACAACTTTCAACCAACATCAAAGTCAGAATCTTCAGTACAAATATCAGGAGAGTTCTGTTGATTGGGGAGAAAAAGTGTTTATTAATAGTTGTCTAGGCAGACAGCATCGGTAACAGCTTACTATGGGAGAGAACAAACTAGATTTCAGCAGGCACTGGATGTGGATAGGACTTACAATGAGAAGATCACCCAAGACATGCACCACAAGACAAGCTGTAACTTGAAATCCTTATGAATAGAGAAAATGAATTAGACCGAAGAACATACTGCGTCTGAAAGGAGAACTAAACATTCGAAGAATAAATAGCGATTGAGAAGAAGTGTAAAGATGAGCGGCGCAGAGAGTAATTTGAAGAATTCAAGTCAGTAGCCTATGCTTCGAAAGCGTTAGCATGCCTAAGTAAAATTAGTAAGTAAGCAGTATACAACTTGTAGTTAATTGTAGGAATTAACTCTCCTTGTTTTTAGAGAAAAAAACGTTACTTTGATTGAAATTAGCTTATCGAAATTATTGACTTTTCGAAAACAAAACACGTTGTTGATGACAAGAGAACTTCTTCAAATCGAGAACTGATCAATATAACTTCACAAAACAACATGGCGCATAGTGTAAAAAATGGAACATTGAAACAGTTTTTTTTAAAAAAACAAGGCGAAAAATAAATTATTCCTTTTCTGTTCTATCAACTTATGAAAATTCTTAAATACTTTTACATAGTTTCTTCGACTATTAACTTGTAAAATAACATACTTTATTTTTTTGAAAAAACAGACAAACAAGAAAAGATGATTCAATCAATATTCAAGATTATTTAAAACAATTAATTTTGTTTAATTTGAATTTCGATCAAACAATAAGAAGACATATAATATGTATGACCAGATTATTATTCAAAATGCACAGCGTAAATACATGATAACAAATTTTTTTTCTGATCAACTATATCTTCTCATTGTTTGATCAATGTTCAATTCCATTATAGGATTGATTAGACAGTCAACTGATCTTTGAAATATAAATTCTACTTATTATTTAGTAAAATAAACATATATATTCACCGATTGATAATATTAATTTTTTTAGAAGAAAACAGTATGTTCATCGGTATGTAGACTGCATGTTTAGACGCATTATTCAGTCGGTCAGTTAGCAACAGTGTGGAACTCCGTATGTATGTACATACATCAGTGTTCAAGTTAACATTGACACGAATTGCCAATTCAAACTGCATAGTAGTGGAGGTAGTAGAAGTATGAGCGGTAATGAACAAGGTTACGGTTCGAATATATTATTCAAGGAGTATACACTAGTGAAATAAATTTCAAAAGAGTAAGATAGAGGTGATGAGGAATTCAGAAGAGATTAGAATTTGAAAATAGACATAGTATCAATGCATCTGTGCCAATGCGAACGGTTTTGAGCCATTTCATTCAAAGTCTCTAACCATCTGTGATCATTGTCTGGCGCATGCCAACCAGGTAGTCTACTAGCATGTCTCAGCACACTTGTCAAAGGTTTCATGGATTTGTTCCATGTTTTAGTTTGGCCGATCCTAGCTAACTTTCTTCCAGATTATTCAAAATGTACAGAGTAAATACATGATAACAATTTTTTCTCACAAACTGAAGAGATTTTATGGAATAAACATATAAAATTCACTGATTGATAATATTAATTTTTCTGGAAGAAGACAATATGTTCACCTGAGTGTCGACTTCATGTTATGTTCGAAATTCTAGTACACACTGTATGATGAATCTGTCAGGCAGGTACTTTCAAGTCGCCACATCACTTTAGCACAAAGATACAATTGTCAATTCAAATCTCATATAGTGGTTAAGGTTATATCAGTATGAGAAGATGAGGGAACGAAAATCGGAATCAAGGAGTCAAACACAGTGAAATAAACTTCAAAAGAGAAAGATAAAAGTGATCAGAAATTCAGAAGAGATTAGAATTTGTGAGAAGATGGGTATCTACACCGTCGCAAACAATTTCGAGCCATATCGGTTACTATTATCTCGTGCATGCCAACCTACTAACATAACTGATTTTAGTAGTCAATAATTTCATGGAATTGTGCCATATTTTGATTTAGTCACTCCTGAATTTTCTTTCAGCTTACTCCTACATCAAACAACATCACACATCTGGGCGATCGGTGTTTGGGGCATGAATGAATGACAGTATCAGTGTATCGAATCTAGATGCGTCTAAGTTATTACTAATCAATATAGTATTTTATGGATTTTCTCGTTGCATTGTTTACACTCAATAATAATAATAATAATAATAATAATACTGATAAATATGTAGAATTATATACGTGTAATAAATTGATTTCTCTCTCTCTGTTTACCTAATGACTAATTATTATTATGATTATTATTGAAAAAGGGTGCTGTTAAATAAAAGAGGAGAGAATGAATTATTTGTCAATCTAAAATTAGAATAACACCTATAAGCGAACAACAGTGTTGTTTTCGATTAGATCGTCGTTATCAGGCTTTATACTCTAATAGATACATGAATATTTATGTATGAAAATGTTAAACCAATCAAGACAATTTGAGTCAATCATCACAATGAAATGAAAAACGCAAAAGTGGAAAGTATGAATGTTAGCAAGAAAAATATGATCTCACTGGATGTGGTTTCGTTGTTCACTAACGTACCACTCCTCGAGACTATTGAATTCATATGCAAGCAAATTAAGGAAAAACAAATCAATATTGGCTTGCACGAAGACTGCCTTAAGGAATTACTCCTAAGATGCACGATGAATGTTCATTTCGTATTCAACAACAATTATTATAGACAAATAGACGGTATAGCCATGGGCTCACCTTTAGGCCCAATTCTAGCTGATCTCTTTCTAGCAAAGCTAGAAAATGGACCAGTCAACGAAGCTATTCAGAAACTTGATCTATATTGCCGTTATGTCGATGACACATTCATCTTGTAGATCAGGACACCAGAAAAGAAAAACTCTTAGAACAATTCAATAGTGTACACCCGGCAATCACGTTCACTGGTGAAGAAGAATATGATTAAAAAACTGTCTTTCCTTGACATCACACTAAGTAGGCGAAATGATGGGTCACTAAGTAGAAGCGTGTATAGAAAAAATCTCAGTGCTTACCAGTACACTCACTTTGGTAGTTTTACGCCAATCCGCTACAAAAGAAACTTGGTTAGATGTCTCACTAACAGAGCAAAAATGATCTGTTCAGTGGATACTTTAAGTCAGTAGCTGGAATTCATCAACGGCTCACTAACCAAGATAGGTTATCCCAGCGCATTCATAAAGAAGTATATGTTTGCCGTAAAAAAGAAGTCGGTGGTTTCGACCGCCCAAAAGAAGCCTTTATTTATGAAGTTACAGTTCAACTGAGATGTGGCCTACGATACTCTGCGGGACAGATTAATAAGAGTAATTAATAGAGCACTCAGCGCTGCTAAACTTGCTTTGACATTTTCCAGTCGACCAGCGATGTATACCCAAACTAAGGATAAGTGACCTGAGTTGGCCTCCTCTATGTGCATTTACAAATTCAGCTGCTCCTGTGGAGATAGCTATATCGGGCATACTTCCAAGCAACTTACCCAACAAATGAGTGGACCTCTCCCAGCATGGTTTAAGAAGGGTCAGTCAAAAACAATACGCAGTTCTATCTTAGCACATCTGGTAGATAATGGTCACATTGTAGATAAATCTAGATCTTTTCGGGTGATCTATCGTATACCTCCATCATTTCCCAACGGAGTTCAATCCCGTCTCCTACACATTGCAGAAGCCATAGGAATACGTACATTCAACCCCAATTTATGTGTTCAGAAGAAATTCATGACACCCCTATCTCTTCCGTGGCCGGACATGACGTAACTAACGATTGATATTATATTTTTATTTTATTTTTATTTTTACACATTTGCTTATTACGTAATGGTTTTGATGTTTTTAATGTTTTATTTGAAGTCTATTCATCCACCTTTGACCTACTATTGATAAAAAATTTAGTTATCATATTTTTCATTTCATTGTGATTATTGACTCAAACTGTCTTGATTGGTTTAACATTTTCATCATGATAAATATTCATGTATATAAGAGTATAAAGCCTGATAACGATCTAATCGAAAACAACACTGTTGTTCGCTTATGTACGTGTTGTTCTAATTTTCACAATGGGAATCTTTAATACTATTCAATCTAAAATGGTGATAAGCATTTAAAAATCTGAAAGTAACAATTAGACAGTTAAACATTAGCGCCTAACAATCTGGGTTGATTCATCACTGTGTAATTGTGGACTATGAAGTGTTCTACTACGAGGAAAAACTGACTATGAATCTAACTACGAAAAGTATTTTTTTCTTGACATGAATAATCATGACTTACTTGAATCAGTTGGATCTTCAATAGATTCGGATGTATGAAATTGCATACACATACTTGTTTTACCAACTCGAGCTGTACCAATCACTTGAACTTGCAAAAGACGATCATCCAGAATGAGTTCACCACCGGTCGGTGAATCTAATTGATTCGGTGAATTATTTGAACTGTCTTCTGTTACAATTGCCCATGATTTTGAACGTAACCGTGTCTCTGGTATAAATCCTCTAACTGGACTACTTGCACGTTTAGCATAATGTTTATGTAGACCATCATTTGAAGCTCTTGGTGAACTAGTACTAGTCAATGTTGTAGTGATTGCTGGAATTTCAATGACTTCATCACTTAGTGATGATTCTGACAAGTGTTGACTACTTTCCGGTATTGATCGTGGATAGACTACGGCGGATCCACGAGAATCACCTGATGGACTTCTTGAGGTGAATATTTCAATTTGTGGTATATCACGATCACCTTTACTTACAACATCACCGTGTTTATTTCGTTCAAAACGTCGAACACGTAACATTTGTTCATCGGTTTGTGCGATGGAATGACGACTAGGTGAATAATATTGTGAAAATTGTAGATTAGTTGGATGTAATGTTGGTGCGGATGGACGTGATTTATGCTTTTCTTGACTTCTTGTCCGTTTATAACTAGTTTCTTTCATAGATCCAGGTCGATCACGTGTAGTAGTAGTAGTAGTAGTAGTAGTACCAAGTCGATACATGACAGGAGAATATGAATAAGCTGTACTTGACGATTCATGACTTGTATCTTGACTTGGCCAATATCTTTGTGTATCGGTAGCGTGTAAAACATTCGGATCAATTGGTTTTTCATTCAAATAACGAGGACGTGATTGTTTTTGTCGTGAGTTTGAACCATAAGTGAATTGAGTCAACTCCTTCGGATTATCCCATTGTGGACTAAATCTATTAGGGGATCGAGTTGCACTAATCTCTCCACTAAAACTACTCGGTTGAAATGATGTTCTTCGTTTTGGTTCACGAAAACTTGAAGCACGTTTTAATGACTCAACATTCATTGTGGATAGATATTCAGATTGATTAGCGATTGGTGACATATGATTAATTCCATGATATGATGGTTCGGTAATTTGTATAGTCGGTGCTAGACTATCTCTTGGTGAACGTTGAGCAATTTGACAGAAACGTTCAAAATCATCAGAAAATTCAGAATCATCCATACTATTTGTAATGTAATGTAATGTAGCGTAAAGTAATGTGTACAAATGTCGAAGATAAATTTTACAAGATGTTTTTTTTATCTATTGAATACAACAACAACATGCAATTAATTCACAATCTATTGGACATTGTAATCATTGAAACAAGAAGCGTTAAATTCACACTGTGAGTTGTTGTTTCGAAATCTTCATTCCTTTTCTTTTTTTTTTAATTTGCCCCCCAAAATGTTTTCTGTTCTTTATATATTTATTTAGTGAAGGTGAAATATTGGGAATTATTGGGAAAGGTAAAATCTATAGCCAATCAAATTGTTTATTATTATTATTATTGTTCTTGTTTGTGTTCTTGTTCTTGTCGTTGACCTCAAAAGCGTAAACATACAAACAATGCTACAAGACGACACGTACACACACATGCATACACATACACGCACACACACACTAACAGGATAAACTTCTCATTTGGGAAAATGCTTAATTATTCCTGTAAGCCTGTTTATGTATATGTGTCTGTCTAACAATCTATTAATATGTATGGTATTTCTTATTGTCCCAATTGACTTCGTTAATAGATAGATAGATGATAAAAAAAAACCTGCTATGTTTTATAAGGTTTACCAATAATAGTATTATGGAGATCATTGTTTTTTATAGAATGAAATTATGAATGAATGAATGAATGACTGTTAGATCGTCATTAGAAATCCAGACGTACTAGACGCCTATTTCGTCCTGTTATGGGATTCATCAGCAGTGCGAAATTCACGAATCTTGTTACTTTCATCGTTGGATGCTGACTCAGTGGTTCAGAGTGATATACTTGTCAACTGATATGCTCGAAACTATTACGAGTTCACCTTACTCGGAATATGGAACGAGAGCAATGATGCAGTGACGCGATAGGCTATTCTAATCCGTTTGTCCCCGGTCCGGCTAACTAGAGCAAGAAGTCTTTATGATGCGTAGAGAGTGTATTCTACAAGCACTTGAAAAATACGAAGTGTCTAAACACACAAATCAAGCTTATTTGTACAATGATAGAGACGCCTTTGGGAGAGCCACGATATAGCGTACTGAAATAATCCATGAACCAATGACGGACAAGGATTTTCAGTTGGGGAAAATGTAAGCTGAAGGTCAACTGGCGCGAAAACATGGAAATTCAAAATAACTCATATTAAGTTTTGTTTAGCTGCCAAATAAATTCCCTAGTCTTTACATGATTTTTTCAAGATATTCAATAACATGAGCTGTCAACATTCAATACACAGATTTATTTGTAAGATGATGAAAAAATTATTGAACATTGAATGAAACGTGTGAATTTGCTTTCGCGCTAATTTGATGATAATTATCTAGTTATTGTATGTTGATTTATTCAATTTGATTTAGATTCATTGTTCTTATGTCAATTAGAAACGTTTATCATGATGGTGATTGTAATAAAGAATAAATCAACCAATGAAATTTTGAGGTCAACAATGTTCAGTAGATGTATTTGGTTAAAACAATCAAAAATGTTTTATTACTATTGGTTATTTGAATATTGTCACTTATGTTTAGGATTGAACAAGTCAATGACTGTCGGAACTTGATAGCTTAGTGGATAACGTAAAGTTGTTTGAAGGAAACGGTACTGGGTTCGAGTCCCGGGGTGAATGTGAACTGTGAGACGGAGGGAAATCCAGCTACAGGCAAATCCGGAATAGGACAAAACACGGGTCTCAGGATTCCATAGCCAACTAAGTTGCAGTCCCAAACAATTCTAACACAATGAATTTATTTAAGTGGTCAGTGAAAATTACAAAGAGGTATATACTGACAACTTAATCCTTACTCAATGTAACAATAATATTTTGAAAAGCATTGTCATGTATAGTAACGACTAATCAATTTCTCGAACCCTTCACAAAGAAATCTACACCAGATTAAATGTTATACGTTTTAATTTAAAACCGGGAATCCATTGAACATAAGTGAAATGGTAGCATCAATGATTAAAGAATAAGTATGGAAGTCATCAGCAGTGCGTACCCACCACTACTGCTATTAGCAGTATATGAACCTAAGATCTTCGGTCATGCGCGCGAACGCTTAACCACTGGACCACTCTAATCAATCTAAGGATTCTGCGCAACTGCACCAATAGTCTTTAAGAGTTACTGCCTACACGCGACAGGGTTGAGCTCCATTGGCCACATTTTCTTACTGGAACTCCAAGAATTTCTTCACGAAGCTAATCACTAGTGAGCACATTTTTGACGTTTTGATGTTTGCATTATAGAGCTATGTAAAACAACAATCTCCGTTATACTGTAAATGAAAAATTAATACAGTGACTGAATTCAGTCAAATATTTATTGATTACTTACTTACTTACTTACGCCTGTCACCCCCCAATGTCGAGTATCTTCTCAGGCACACCGTAGTGTCGAAGATGCCACAATAGGGTTTCCCTGTCTACGCTACCGAATGCTTTCTCGTAGTCAGTGAAGTTGATGTAGAGTGGTGAGTTCCACTCAATTGATTGTTCCACAATGATCCGTAATGTAGCAATTTGGTCAGTACACGATCGATCCTTACGAAATCCGGCCAGTTGATCTCGAAGTTGGGCGCCTATGAAGTCCTTCATTCTGTTTAAAAATACCCTGTTGAAGACTTTGCCTGGTATTAAAAGAAGAGTGATGCCTCTGTAGTTCTCAAGCTTGCTGAGATCGCCTTTTTTGGTATTTTGATCAGGTATCCTTCTTTCCAATCTGATGGTACTTGTTCCTCATTCCAATTCTTGTTGAATAGAATGTGAAGTGATTTTGCAGTTTTTTCCACGTCTGCTTTCATAAATTCTGCTGGAATGCTGTCTGGTCCTGCTGCTGTGCCGCTCTTGATTTGTCTGATGGCCATGCTGATCTCTTCAATTGTAGGTGAGCCAACATGACCACACTATAACAGAAGTTCCCCTGAAGCTATTCTCAGTTGTCCTACCTGTGTCCGATGCGTTTCGCTGATTCCTTGGACCTCCAGGTTTAATCTTTCTGCCGCAACTTGAAATAGTCTTCCGATCCCCCACAATGTTCAGTCGTTCCATGTACCTATAAGAATGGTTGCTCTGGTTGTCAGAAGAGGCATCAGCCACGTGACTTACGAGGGAACTCTGCTTTCATCACGCGACGTCATAATTCTTCTTTCAACTTCCAGGGCAGAGTGAAAATGTTTTGATTTGATTTTTCTGGTTAGCGCTTTTTTGACAAGTTAGTTTTTTGTTAGGATGGGATTGCCAACCCACATATCAAACTTCCTCCTTTATCTGGGCTTGGAACCGGCAGTAGCCTCGAAGGTTCTACAGGCAGAATTATTTAATGATTAGTGTCATATAAATTTCATAAAAATATTAAAATGGGTTAGGCGCTAATTAAATTTGAAAGATTTGCAGTGATTTTAAATCAAGAATAATTATCACTATAATCCCAAAACAAATGTGACCAAAGATAACATTCACATTGATATTCGACTAAGAGAAAGGTTGTATGTAGATTAGCCTAATTAGGTCATTCTATATAGTAAAGGTCACTATCGAACAATTGGTCGTCAGGTTGACCGTGGTAAAGAAAACACAGGATTGAATGTTCCTTTTCAGTGCACAAAGCTATCGGTTTTTCAGTCGAATAGCTTTAGAAGTTTGAGAAATTTTGAGATAATTTAGGAGTTGAATAAGTAACACTAAATGAATAAAACAGCATCAGAACACTACACAGTTTAGATGTCATCATCTGAAATAACAACGTTTAGGAGACTATTTAGAGTAGAGTATTTACAAAATCAAACATGATATAATTCACCATTCAATCGATCACGTCAATCTGCTTCAAAAAAAAATCCTCAGATTGACCGCAGTAAAAAAAAGGCGCAGCATCGAATTTTCCATTTATGGAACACGAAGCTCCCGATTTTTCAGTCAAATAGCCTTAGAAGTTTGAGAAATTTTGAGATAATGTAGCAAACGAGAACACAGGTGGGGCAACCGAATTTTATTTGACGAAAATTACAGAGTTACTCATAAAAATTGGAAAACCATATCGTAAATCGTTCATTCGCAAAATATCAGTTCATCACATCGAAGTGGACTGTTCCTGTTGCAAAACATCAATCCATTGTCACTATTCATGATGCGTTTCATACAAATTCCATTGTTTTCTAACTCTTCCTTTCATGATCTTTCCCCATCTCCCGCTGCCAGACATTACGTTGACGCTCACGTCATATACTACTTATAAGTAGCTTACACCACAATAATTTAGGAGTTGAATAAGTAACACCAAGTGAAAAAAACAGCGTCAGAACACTACACAGTTTAGCTGTCATCATCTGACATAAAAACGTTCAGGAGACTATTTAGAGTAGAGTATTTACAAAATCCATCACGACACATTTCACGTCCATTCAACTACTAGACTGAATAATTTGGCACCTTTTTATTACAAAACTATTGAAATCACCAACCACGAGATGAGACATTTCAAATTATCCCCCGTTCAGCATTCAAACAAAACACTTGTCCATCAAAATGTTGCATTATTGAACAAAGTCAAAATTCATTTTTCAAGCAAGAACATATTTCCTCAGGGAGGATTACACGCACACACACCCACACAACACACACATAAACCTACCATACAAGTCAATCAATATCAAGCAAACTGTCACTCATTTATCACATGAAATTAAATCATTAACGCCACAAATCATTTGACTAAAAAAATTATTCAATGTTCAACATATTCAAATATTTTTCATTTTTCATATTCCCAATGAGGACAGTTCATCTCTGAATAGGATATTCAAAATCACAACCAACTCATCTTGATAAATAAAACAAACAAAGCGGGAACAGAAGCAAAAAACCAAACACATGAACAATTTGTTTATGCTGTCGATATACATTTTCATTATTCACGATTGAACAGTCTGTCTGTTCATCTATGTATATCTTCATTCCCGTCACATTGACATAGTATTCCACTATGTTATCAATGTTGCTGCACTGAAGATTACCGGTGTATGTGTTAAAACATATTAGTTTATTTCATGATGACATATTCACATGTATATTTGACATCTCAACCCACATTGTTAGCTCGACTGTTCACTGAATTGTTTTTCATTTCATTTCATTTCAGTTTGATGATGAGATA